AGAAAAATACACAAGTTCACTGTCTCAACCCCTCACGGTCTCTTCCTCCTGTGGCGCGTTTGACATTTGCCGTTTCCTTTTCCCCCCGACTGACTGCTGCTTCCCTCCTGCCTCTGTGCTTGTGAATATTGCAGGTCCTGACGCTCACTACTGGAAATTATTAATTTTCCTCGCGGGAAATGACGTGCTTTCTGTGTATACAAATTCTGAATTTGTGTGTGTGTGTATTTATGTTATGTTGGTAAATGTATACATGTGTGTGTGTGTGTGTGTGTGTGTGTGTGTGTGTGTGTGTGTGTCTGTCAGCCAGTACAGACAGCAGCTGGTCGGCACCCACTAAAACACTTCAACAACAGCGTCGGCCTGAAGAAGAAGAATGACCCCAGGGAGGACGATTTTTCTCACTAAAATCAAATAAAAGGGAAGAATGATCCCTGGCAGGTGCAGAATGCCTCTCAAGACTCAAGAGTTTTGCGGGGGTCTCGTGAGGGCGTGTGCGGGCGTGCGGGAGCTCTGATCACTCTACTGTGAACCACCAGCAATGAATGTGTTTGACAGGGATAAACACGCACGTCCTGCTGACAAAATCCTGGGCCTATCGCTTGTCATCTATTACGACGATAAAGAAAGAATTTATATTTCATTATGTGATTTATAATGACGTCAGTATAAATTGCCATGAAAAAAAAATGGTAGAAAATAGGAAAGAGGAATTTTGTTTTAGAAATCTCGTTTTTTTCTTAGATTTTTTCGAGCATAAAAAGCTTTTGACCTTTGACTGATGGAGCGAAGAGCCGTGCAGCTTAAGTGGTCGGAAAATAACTCACGGGAGCGATTATCAGAGTTTCCTCCTGCCACAGCACACACACACACACACACACACACAGCTGTATTACCTGAATCATAAAATCACAAATCGCGTTCACTAAAAATCGTGTTTTTAATGGCTTCGGTCAGCGGCAAGAAAACTCGCGCGAGCCAATCTGTCCTCCCCTGGGTGTGGCTCCAGGAGTCACGCCACCCAGGAAGGCGACACATGACGTCCAGAGATCACCCCCCACCCTCTCCTCCATTGGTAATAAAACGTCAACAAACTAAGCGCATTAGACAGAGATAATCCAATTGATATTATCGACCGTAGAAAATAAACAAACTAACGGCTGCCTCTCAATCAGTTAACAAATCCTTCAAATAAACAAAAAGAATCTATTGATAAAAAAATATATATTGGTGGGTTGTTTTGATGACACTGAGTGAGGAAATATTGTTGGTGTTAGTAATGTTATGAGTCAACTGAAGAGAAGAAGTGTGTTAAAGATCCGGTACAGTGGATGTGGGTTAGTTGTGGGCATGGGTTAAGATGTTGGTGTGGGCTAGTTGCTGGCATGAGTTAAGTTGTTGTTGTGGGTATGGGTTAAGTTGTTGGTGTGGGCATGGGTTAAGTTGTTGGTGTGGGAATGGGTTAAGTTGTTGTTGGCGCTAGGGGTAACAATACTAATAATTACGAGACAAAGAAGAGGCAGACAGACAGACAGACAGACAGACAGACAGACAAACAGACAGACAGACAGACAGAGGTGGGAAGGGTGTTGGTGAATATACCAGCATTAACAAGGTCAATAGTGTGTGTTGGAGACTGCGGTGCGGTTGAGCTGTTTTACCTTGCAAAATAACACACTGAATACAGGTTTAAAGCGACTGCACGCATACACTCCCACATGACGCTCCTGTGTGTGTGTGTGTTCCTTCGTATTTTCGTGTGTGCATGTAAGGGTGTATGTGTGTGTGCATGCATATATGTGTGTGTGTGTGCATGTATGTTTGCATGGTATGTATGTTTAGTTAATTAGTTATTCAACATAGGGAAGTGGCACATTCGGGTGATATTAGAGTATATTGGCCATGAAGAATTATGACCCATATCTACTGTGGATGTTAGGATGTTTTAATTGGGGATTGAACAAGTTCACTGATGTTACGGGTTAAAAGCCGAGTAAATGTTCAAAGAGACTAATTATTGAAAAGTGATGGTGTTTGTTCATCACTACATAAGGCTTAAGGTAGGTATATAATTAATGCCTGAATCTGTATTTAAATCAGTGAATAAAGTTTCCAGATATCACATTTTGTTGTGTTGACAAACTCGCAGTTTGTAACCAGAATTAAACTGTGTGGAAGAGGTAAGCTTCCGGTGCTGTGTTCTCTGCCTCTCAACCCAGACAGAGGAATGTTGCTCAGTGCACAATGCTCTTCATTCTGAATATATATTTGTTAGTTAACTTGAGACACTGTCACCGCCGCCTCCACACCAGCGATATATATCACATATAACACGACGCGTTTCTACATTATATAATTATCTAATGTTTCTTACTTTGACATACTAATATTTGCTTAATACTGATTACTTTGAATTAAATCCTTCAGCATATATATATATAGATCATATATGGTATAGGATTAATTTATAAGACATAGCTGCTGCTGCTTACCTCTATTTAAAGATATATTCTGAGATAGTGTGTTGGCATCGCATGTTTTCTCCTCTACCTTGAGAAATGAAAACAAGCGACATGCAAATTACACGTTATAATGGACGAATGACTGGATAATAATACTCCAAAGGTCACTGGCTGTTGACCTTTTGAGGAAGTAAAGGGTAGATTATCGTCCTTAAAGGGTTAAACCATCATTGTTAAGGGGTTAAACCATCATTATTCAAGAGTTAAACCGCCGTTTTTAAAGGGTTAAACCATCGTCCTTAAAAGTTTAAGTTTATATTTAAATAACAAAATACAAATCCGTAATCTATTCTCCAACTCTGTTATGTTTGGCTTTCTTAACTGTGTGTAGACTCAATTATGCCTCCCCCAGGCGTGTATGTGCGTGCGCGTGTGTGTACGTGTGTGTGTGTGGAGACCCCAGGTCTCCACACATCACCTGGGTGGGGGGGCCCAGGTCTCCACACATCACCTGGGGTGGAGAGGCACAGTAGAGTATATTACGTGATAATAGTCATCGTGATTCGTATTATTTAAGAATCGTTATAAGTTTTCATAAGTTATAACAAGTTCAATTATATATAACACATGAGATTGAATAAATTACGAAACTTTAGATCCAAGATATAAAGTTTTAGTAGAGTAAAAATTGCGTATGAAATATAAGTACTTTCAACTTAGGCATATTTTATTTTTTTTAAGGTGAATTGCTGCCGTTTATCCTCTCAAAGTTCCAGGAAATTATGTTGAAAATCTTTATCACTTCAAGGAAAAGTAATAGTTAGAAAAGTATTCATAGACTTTCAAAAGGATATTAGCAAACATTTATACTGTTGAGTCAGATGGTTTCTAAAACAATACTCACCGTAAAAAAGTGATTTGATATGTTTTTGACTATTAGAAAAATCGACTTATTTTTTCTCACGGTATAAGATTTTTTTTTGTTCTATAACATGTTATTGTATAAAGTGTTTGTTTTGGTTCTCATATATATAGAAAAGTTTGTATGCTCTCTCTCTCTCTCTCTCTCTCTCTCTCTCTCTCTCTCTCTCTCTCTCTCTTTACATATCTGTCCACCTACTTATCTGTCTATCTTTTTCTCTCTTCCTATCTCCCTGTCTATCTACCTACCGCACCAGTCTGTCTTTTAATTTCTCTTCCTCTCTCACATATCCCTTTTTCATCTCTTTCTGTCTCTTTTTTTTTAAACAAAATTCTCGGTATTTCTCTCACTCACAGTTTCCCCAGTTAGTTTTTTTTTCTCCTATTCTTTCTCTTTCTCTCCTGAAATTCTCGCTATATCTGGTTCTCATATTTCACCTGGGTATCTCTCTCTCTATGGCGTGTAATCTCAAGCAGAAATACTTTACACCCACCTCCTCTTATTCAACACTATATTTGATGGTGGTCTGCCAGATAAAAATATTAAAAATTTCTCGACCCACAAAGAATTCTCTCTGGCGCGATGAAACCTTGGTTGTAACACACACACACACACACACACACACACACACACACACACACACACACACACACACACACACACACACACGTACGTATTATGAAAGAAACTGTAAAACTCTAAAATGAGAGAACGAGAGAGCGACTCGGTAATTATTGTGCACGACATGATATCAAGAATTTTACTGTGCTTACCTTGTTAACTGACCACGGGGCACCCTGCAGTCTACTGAGTATCATTATTGACCACAAGTATTCTTGATGCTCTCCTGCCTTGCTCGATAACGTGTGTGTGTGTGTGTGTGTGTGTGTGTGTGTGTGTGTGTGTTGATTACCACCTTCCTGGGGTGAGATACGGGACTAGCCATTGCACATTCTCGCCCCTAAACTGGTTGATAATGACACCGGCAGCAGCTCCATAAAAGGACGGCAATTGTCATCGATTATCGCTATTTATAGATGACGGCTTTACCAAGGTGTTGTAAGATGATCCTTTACGAGGGAGAGCGAAGCAGGTGGGCGTTGAACTCTACTTGTTTCATTGTTACACAGTTTAATTGTTATTAATTTAATAACTATTGAACCGTCGGGCTTTTTATTTGCCGTTGAAATATAATAAAGGAAATTTTTTTATCTCCATCAGGGTACAGAAGATTGCCAAAGGATCGTAGGATAAATATTCTCTCTACGATCCCTTGAACACCGTAGACCCTGACGATAGCTTTCTGTTGGTCCAGCGTTGTAAACAATAGACCGAAGTAAAAGCGTTTGTCAACCGTAAGAGCAGAGGATAAAGTTGATTATGAACACACCGATGACAATATTTAACGATACTTATTCAACCTTTGGGTCTTTTGGGGTTATCAATGACGCCTGACCCATAGTCGTCAGTTCAGTAGGAAGTAATATTACACAAGAAGGAACAGAAACTAAAATTCAATAAACTGTTGAAGATTATAAAGAAAATTCGTTGCTTCCATACCAGAGAACAGTAGAGCTGAGTGCAGTACGATAACCAAAATATTAACGCTGCCTTACCTGCCAGAAGTAGGAGTAACAGCAGCTGGAGGCGATGTAGACCAAGTGTCTGGAACATCGACATTTTTGCCCTGGAAGAGACAAAGAGTTTGGGTCATTCATTATCTCAGAGTGAAAGACTTCAAGTCCTTCAAAAGTCAGTACCAACAGACAAAAGGTTTTATGGGTCTCATCAACACATCTCGAGGGTCTTCCTTCACCAGTTAAAAATCACTTCCTTCATAATGACTCCAAGCAGGAAAAATACGTGTGTGTGTGTGGGTGGGTGTGTGTGTGTGTGTGTCTGTCTGTCTGTCTGTCTGTCTGTCTGTCTGTCTGTCTGTGTGTGTGTGTGTGTGTGTCTGTCTGTCTGTCTGTCTGTCTGTCTGTGTGTGTGTGTGTTCTCACAATAAGACTTTATCATGTATCTTAACAACAATTAGTTACCGTTAAGACAATAAATAATCAAGGTTGTATAATTATTATTCAATTAATGTCGTGTAATGACAAGAATCACGTCACACTAATGTCTCTTCGTCCCTGCCATGCACGTCATCGCCCCCACACACACATCACCACCCCCACCACACAAATAAGAACCTAAGAATGGAGGAAACTGGGCAGTCCTGTTTACACCCAACCCCTATCGCTCATATATCCATCCAACCTATGTTTGAAGCTGTCCAGCGTATTCGAGTTAATGATAATGTTTGGTAACTTGTTCCACTCTTCCACTACTCTATTTTCAAACCAGTGTTTACCTATTTGCGCCTAAATCTAAATTTGTCTAATTTAAAACCATTGTTACGAGTTCGCTCCTGGTTGGATAGTTTGAGTACCTTTGTAATGTCCCCTTTGTTCAGACCTTAATTCCATTTATACACCTCTATCATATCGCCCCTCACTCTACGTCCCTACCACATGTCATCACCCCACCACACACGTCATCACCCACACATCATCACCCCCACACACATCCCCCACCCCCACACGTCCATCACGTCATCATCATCACCCCACACACGTCATCACCCCCACACGTCATCACCCCCACACGTCACACACGTCATCACCCCCCACACACACACCCCCACACGTCATCACCCCCACACACGTCATCACCCCCCACACGTTATCACACACGTCATCACACGTCATCACCCCCCACACACGTCATCACCCCCCCACACACGTCATCACCCCCACCCTACACCTATACACAGAGTCTAGTTATAATTATAGTAACGTCGATTTCTTTATGTTATATGTATTTCCACTCACAAACATCTACTTATTGTTCATGTCCGGTTTTACAACGAGTGTTTTAATTATATATCACATTAAATTAATATTCAAAGCTGTGTTATGAATAGCGTATAGTTGCTGACCCAGGAATGAAATGTGTAATGCCTCTCCTGGTGAACGGGGGTAACTAATATATTAATTCTATTTATCCTGGGAGAGACATATTGTGTAATGTTATGGTTAATGGAGGAATATAATGGTCTTAACTCACGTGTTAGGAGGGTCGACCATGACTAATTATGTTAAGGGCCTCTCATGTGTTTTATTTAGGTTGGGTTTAGGATAGAGACTTATGTTTAACCTCCTGTGACTGTGTTTGTACGTGTATGTGTTTTTCATGCTGGTTATGTCACCGAACTATCAGATATTGTTGGTTTTAATTTATTTATGCACACACAAGGCTGTATATTTTGTCAGGGTTAAAAGTTTTACAGTGATATTGACGTTCATGGTAATATATGGCATACTGTTATACACACACAAACACACACACACACACACACACACACACCATTATCTAACATGTTACATTTTTATCCTACCAGCATTATTACACATAGAGTCAAGTTCCCATTACTATGCACTACTACAACATCCTCTGACTTGTGTGTGTGTGTGTGTGTGTGTGTGTGTGTGTGTGTGTGTGTGTGTGTGTGCTTGACATAGATATTAAGTCAATAAATCAATAACACACTTCACGTCACAGTTTATTTTTACCAGTCTCAATTTTTCATCTTTTTTTTTCCAACATAAAAATAAATAATTTCAAAACAATATACAACAAAAATGTGATCCACAGAGCCCGGTCTTTTAGAGATGACCACCAACCCTTTTATAAACTTGAATTGCAAAGCAGAAAAATACATATTTTTAGTTCCGAGCAGAATGTGAGAGCGACCCTGTATAGTCGATGCCTGACACCGCCGCCAGTAGTAGAGGCAACACTCGTGTACCGTCTGATGACTCAACCTGTAAGGACGGAGTGTACAGTTACCCTTACAGTTGCCAACATGTACCTGAATATACATACAAGTGCATACAAATTATACTCGTGTCACTATACAAGTTATGGAGTTTATAGTTCTGTATGTTGACCACCCACTGTACCGGGACGACCATCCACTGTACCGGGACACACTCGGTGTCCTGTAATATCCGTCCGAGCAAAATTTTACATCCTGGGATTAACTTGGATGTCGCCAGTATTACAGAACCTAAATAACAGCAAAATCCTCTTTCGTCTGTCCTAACATTTTTCTGGTCTCAGTTTTGCTGAGAATAAAAGGCGTGGCAGAGTATAAATCACACTATCTACTGTAGTCGTGTTCAGTCCAGAATTTGAACAGCATTAATCCCCTCTGAGACTTGACCTCCCCCTCTGGTGTTATTTAATCTAACAGACCAAAAGTTGGGTAAAGGGAATACCCATTGTGAATTGGCCAATTTTGAACGTGAGGCGAAGGTAACTCTATTACGTCAAAGGGGCTTATAATCCTCCCGAGGGAAAACATAATTTGTTTTAAATAGAGGAAGATGAAACTGATACGAGATAGACATGAAAATAATGATGAAATAAAAAACACACAATAAATATTAAAAAGTGATAAAATATATATCAGAAATAACTAATTTTTTGTCAATTTCAAGTGCACTAATGTGTGACCAGACTGCAGCTCAACATGACTGCTGGTGTTCGTTTGACAACTATTTTAGGATTACCGACTTATGACACGAGAGAGAAACATGATACAATGTAGGCCGTCTAATCCCTTCGAGTCTATAAAGGATAAATCAACACAGGAAGAAAACTTTAGACACAAAAACGAGAAGGTTGACAAGAGCTTCACCACAAGGACAGGAGTCACTGCTTCACATAACGTTATTAAACTGTTAGACCTGCAGCCTCTGTGACTCCCCCAAGACATCACCTCTGCCCGGCTAATAATTAAAGTACCACAGTATATACCTTGTGGGGGTAATATTTTCTTGGCAGGACAATTTATATATACAAATGGTGTATTGATGTGTATATTAGATTTATGGCTGTGTTTAGGAGTGAACAATAAAAACAGTTGGGTTTATTTGAAGGCACATGTCTCTCTCTCCAGCCTATAATCATTTATCCACCTTTTATATCCCCAAACACACACACACACACACACACACACACACACACACACACACACACACACCAGTTTTATCCTCTTCACAACTCTTCCACACCGATATTTTAGACCAATATCCTTATTTCGTCTCTTTCTTCTGCTAGTTATCGTCCCCGCCTTCACCCGACCAATCAGGTGGAGACGATAACCCACCTTCTCTGTACAAATGGACGAGGAACTGGAACATTTAGGAGTTTTTCTTGATATCTTCCCTCTCTCCTACCCCCCCTTTTCATTCTTCCTCCTCTTCTCCTCCTTCCTCCCTCTTCATCCTCACTCTCTCCACCTACCTTATTCTCCCTCCTCCCCTCTTCCTCCACTTTCTTCCTCTCAACAACAACAATGATGATGGCGATTAATAATAATAATAATAATAATAATAACGATAACAATTGACGACGATGACGATAATGACAATGACGATGACGATAATGACAATGATAACGATGAAATAGATTAACTGAGCGGTGCTTTGAAAGATATATATATATCATTTAAGATAGACTTCAGGAATATAGATATTATAGACAGACAGACACACAAACATAAAAGCTTCAGGTATTAAAAAATATCTTGACCAACACTGTAGTCAGAGCTGCAGAAATAATCCCAACTCAGACGTGGAGTTTCAGTGGCTTTGTTCATCTGTGTTAGAAAGAACTTGATGTTTTTATATCACACGAGATCTGTTTCCTTGTGTGTTTGTTTGTCAACTTTAAAAAAAACATTTCCTTTTAGTGTTTGGTGAGTTTTTTTGTGTTTTGATAAAGATGTGATAAATGGAAATAGATATATGAACGAGAAACAGAGAGGAGGGATAGAGAGAGAATGAAAAATGAGAAAGAGGAGAGAGACAATGGAAAAGAATAGAGAGATAAATACAATTCAGAGAGAAAGATGAACAGAGAAAGAATAGAAGAAAAGAATGTGAGAATTGAGAGAAAGAGAGAGAGATAGAGAGAGTGGGAGAAGGGGGCGAGGAAGAAGGATACAAACTAAAAGAAATTTTCAGAGGAGCAAACAGGTAGTGAGCAGCTCAGAAGAAACGAACTAACGAAAGATAGAGAGAGGGCAGTTGTTCACTCCCTCTTGTCTCTCTCTCTTCTTCTTCTGCTTACCTTCTTCTCTCTCTCTCCTCACAGTCCTCTCCCTTCTCTTTCCTCACTTCCCTCAACCCTCCCTCACTCCTCTCCTGTCTTTCTCTCTCTCTTCCTCTCCACTCTCCTCCTCTCCTCTCATTAGTGATCAAAACCTAACTCATCCTAACCTCTCAATGATGACTACGAGACTAGCATATTACATTAATATATTGGCAAGATTTAATTCCTTTTTAATCTACAGTGACTACGAAAAATTCATCTACAAACACTTGATATATTTTTCTTTTATTGACTCATCCTTCACTTGACCCAAAAAATAATTGAGGATGAATCTATATATTAATTGTGTAGCCTCAAAGCTCTCCCAGGCGTGAAGACCTACTGTTGTAGGGAGTGAAGGCGAGTAAGGAGGGTCTCTCTAGTGTAAACATCAGTCTCTGTCATTGGTAACTTGTAAAAAAATGAAAATATTTCCTCGTACTTTCATTCGGTTTTATATTTTAAGAAAGAAATTTTAATTAA